TATTACTAGAAAAAAACTTCTCCCAAAGTAAAACGAAGATTAAAGAACACAGCAATGCTGCTAAACATATACTCAGATACTTGTTTATAAAAAGGCTGTAGCACGGACTACATGTTAAATGCCCACTACTCCTTTCTCATTTGTGAAACAACAACAAACAGGGTAAATTGCCTCCAGTAAAAAGGAAGACAAAACAGCTGCTTCTTCAGGAAGCATTTAATTTAGCTTAACTTCCTAAAACCTCAAAAAGCTCACACATTTAGTGACTCCAATTGCAGAGTGTAATTTCCTAAATCATGACACCTGCTCAGAAGTGAAGCATCACAACTTGCCTGTGGCTGCCCTACTTTCCCAGTCACAAGACTGCTTATAAGTAGAGCTCAGATTTTCCACACTGGTCAGGCAGGGACAGAGTTTGATGTGTGAACAGCCAGTATTACACAACGAGGGGTGTGGGTGATCTGCACGGGTGGTGACAGTCTAGCCCTGTGCCTAGTGCTAAGGCAAATCATAGCATCGTAGAACACCAGATTGGAAGGGACCTCAGGGATCATCTGGTCCAACCTTTCTTTGGAAAAGCATGGTCTAGACAAGATGGCCCGGCCCCCTGTCCAGCCGAATCTTAAAAGTGTCCAATGTTGGGGAATCCACCACTTCCATGGGGAGATAATTCCAATGGCTGATTGTTCTCATAGTGAAAATTTTCCTCTTGTGACCAATTGGAATCTCCCCCAGAGTCACTTGTACCCATTACCCCTTGACTTTTCCATGTGACTCCTTGTAAAAAGGGAGTCTCCACCTTCTTTGTAGCCACCCTTTAAATACTGGAACATGGTGATAAGGTCTCCCCTAAGCCTTCTTTTCCCAAGGCCGAACAAACTCAATTCTCTCAGCCTTTCCTCATACAGCAGGCTTCCCAGTTCTTGGATCATCTTAGTGGCCCTTCTCTGGACCCTCTCCAGCCTCTCCACACCTTTTTGGTACAGCGGAGATCAAAACAAAGCACAGTATTCCAGGTGTGCCCTGACAAGCTCTGAGCAGAGCGGAATAATAACTTCTTTACCTCTACCAGTGATGTCCCTGTTGATGCAACCCAGCATCGTGTTGGCTTTCTTTGCCACAGCAGCACATTGTTCACTCAGATTGAGCTTGTTCTCCACCAGCAACCCCAGGTCCCTTTCCACAGATCTGCTCCCCAGCCAAGTAGATCCCAGCCTATGTTGCACTCCTGGATTATGTTTTCCCAGGTGCAAGACCTTACACGTGTCCTTGCTGAACTTCATAAGGTTCTTGTTAGCCCACTCTTCCAGCCTATCCAGGTCTTCCTGCAGGGTGGTTCTCCCTTCCGAAGTGTCCACTTCCCCACTCAGTTTGGTGTCATCAGTAAACTTTTTCAGGGTACACTTGATCCCATCATACAGATCACTTATAAAGATATTGAACAGTGTTTGGCCCAGTTTTGACCCCTGTTGGACCCCACTTGGGACAGGTTGCCAGTTTGAAATGGAGCTATTTACCACCACCCTCTGAGTGCAGCCTGTCAGCCAGTTCCCACCCACTGCACAGACTTGTCTGGACCATGACACATCGCTCTCTCTGGAGGCAGCTGTGGGGAACCGTGTCAAAAGCCCTGGAGAAATCCACGAGGACAACACCCGCCGCTTGCCCCTCATCAACTGAGCAGGTTATTTTGTTGTAGAAGGCGATCAGATTTCTCAAGCACAGTTTGCCCTTGGTGAATCCCAGCTGGCTATTCCCAATCACGTGCTTCACTTGACTTGTAACAAGCCCCAGGATTTGTTCCATAACTTTCCCAGTTAGTAAGAGTGACGGGTCCATAATTTCCTGGATCCTCCTTTAAGCCCTTCATTAGTAATCTTCAAGTCTTCTGGGACATCCCCTGATCTCCGCTTTTCCTCAAAGATTATGGATAGTGGCCTCACAATGACGTCAGCCAGCTCTCCTAACACCCTTGGGTGTATGTGGAGAGGGCCCATTGATTTACAGGGGTCAAGGTCCTGTAATTGTTCCCATACCAACTCTTCCTTCACTGGTGGTGGGCCTTTGTTTGTGTCAACCTGGATTTTTGTTCTCAAGGCCTGGGGCACAATGGTGCTTGGTAAACACAGAGGTGAAAAAAGTGTTGAGCACCTCTGCCTTTTCAGTGTTGCCAGTGACTAATTCACCTCTCCTGTTTATGGTGGGCCAATGTTTTTCTTCTGTTTCTGCTTGTTGTTTATCTACCTAAAGAACCTTTTCTTATAGTTTTTGACACCTCTGGGCAGCTTCAATTCAAGAGGAGCTTTTGCTTTTCTTACTGCATCTCTGCATGCCCTGGCAATGCCCTTGTAGTTCTCAATAAGTACTCATCAAATATGTGATGTAGATGTGCCAAGAGAGTTTGGAAGTAACCAGAGTCGTAATGCAGAAATACCTAGCTTTTATTCTGCTCAAAGCTAAAAAAAAAGCTGCTAGACTTGCTTTATACTCCACTCATTTGAAGAGTTTAAAAAGCTAGATATTCATAGTAACATTCTGTAGTCTCGTATTTCTCACATAGCACTAGTGTTTTTGGCATATATTCCCTGCAGCCTGTGGCACATTCTACTACGTGCAAGACGCGTCTTTCTTCTGGGTTTTGGGTTTTTTTCTTTTTTTAAAAAGAAGGATGCAATCATATTACAGAAACCGCATAGGCAACAGTACAGTTAATGAGGATAACGCTATTTAATCCAAATACACGAATCTATCCACACAGTTTGTCTTCAGCTCCCCAAAACCTAACTATATGAGATTAAAATCTTCTACCAGTGCCCATCACAGCTGATTTTAAGCTGAAATAATTATTTTGTGTTAAGCTGTTTTAAACACTCAACAGAAGGTTATTAGAAGCAAGGAGATAACACCATACCTCTTTAAAAATATTTTTCAACATATTGAAAAGAGTTAATATATGATGGACCTGAAATTTAAAATGTGTGGGAGAAGGATTAGTAAAGGGAGAGTCATTCTATAAAAGAATAGCCTTTTGCTATGAAAGTTTGCCAGAATTTCATCAAGTCATATGTCCCTGGAAAATATCTCTTGGCAGATGTCTGGTAGAGACTTGTGTCCTGTTCACCAAGGATGTTCCATCTGGATGGTAATGTCCCCGCCAAACTGAGCATGTGCAATCCATTCATAATAATTAGGGATGCTTTGCTCTAGGAAGAACAAAATTCCTTTGCAACTCTTCCTTGCGACTGCAAGAAACTATGGGTATGGAGAAGGAAGACAAAAAAGTGTTGAGAAGTATGACTATTTTTGTGTGTGTGTGTGTCTGATTTCTTTCTGTTGCCAAAAGCCAGGCTGGAAGGACCTGAGGGACGGAGCAGCCATACTGGAATGAAGGAGGGTAAGAACAGAGTGACAAAAACTAAGGAGAAACAAGTGTGAGAGAAGAATGGGACAACAGCACCTGGCATGACAGAGTTAGGAGACTCAGTGAAAACAGTAAATACTAAGATTGACGGGTAAGTTCTGAAAACTCCAATATAAGAGATAAAAGCGAAAGGTAAGTTCTGAAAACTCCAATATAAGAGATAAAAGAGATAAAAGCAAAGGATGAAATCCAGCTGTTACTAAGAAGAACACTTTTTCCCCCCTTGTAGCCCCTGCCTCATACAAGATGGAGGCTGCTTTAGCTCGGAATTGGGACTAAATGCCAAGTGGGGTTATGCTTTTTTCATTATAAAAATAAGAATCTCTGTCTAGCTGAGGTAATGGATGGAGAGGTAATGAACTACTACAATGGTGGCAATGGACAGAGAAGACCATCTTTTATAAGATGACATAGAATCTTACCCTAGAAAAAGTCTTTTGAACCCCATCTTTACCTCATTTTCATCTGTGATAGCAGTGCTTCTCAATTTAGTTGAATGATGTTTTAAATATGGAGAGAATCCTACAGCTGGGGAAACATCGGTAAATTCCTACCACTTCATCTGTCTTTGAAATGAACTACGAAGCTTAATACACCTATAAAAAGGAACTACGATGTTAGAGGTAAAAGTGCTGACAATCCTGAAAAATCTGGCGTGAGGTGACTTGTGTTTGCTGATCAACAACTAATACTGTTGTACCTCAGACTTCTGGCTGTAACACAGTGGTATTTATACCATTGAAGAAAATAATCATCAGTTGTAAATCCTTTAGATTGGTGAAAGCAGACTAATTGTACTGAATTATTTTATATTCAGTGCCTGGTTTAGTTTCTTAAATAGGTCTAGGCCTTATACAGGATAAAAAGATGTAAAAAAGGAATAATTATCCCTATGAACAGATTCCAATTAAGCTTAATTATGACATTCCACGATACCCAAGTATCTGTTATTTCAAACTTATTCTTTTAATATGACTTATTGGATGCAACTAGAATATGAAGATACTTGATCAGATATACTGCAAAGAAAAAAACAAAAAATCACTATTTTATTTATTAGAATTAGTTGATTAAATGCAATTGTAAGGGACGAACTGAAGTCTCCATTATTAGTATTTATCTAATATGAGCCAGAAATATGAACAGTAACTTTTATACAGACTGAATTAGCATTTAAATATTCATTGAAAAATTCTGCCTGTTCTTTCCAAAAATCATGTTAGACATGCATCATGCTTTTCATCCTCAGAGTGATTCTGAAATACTAAATTTCAAAAGTAAAAAAAAAAAGATGGTGAGGAGAACATCTGCTACTTTGCAGTAGTATAATTTTTCCTGAGTTACCTTTAATAAACTTATACCTGAAGTATTTTTTCAACCTTTGTAATTGATACTTATATTTGAGGTAGGGAACAAATGAAAGTTATGACATTTATTAAATTATATTAATGCTTTTCTCACTAAACTCTGAAAATTTATTCCTCAAACACTGCAACTACATTTCTAAAAGCAAATAAGCAAATATAATTCATAAATAGATTATGTATATATTTAAATGCAGAATAACAGAAGTACTTACCTTTCAGTATCTCCACTGACTGTGTCCCCTGCTCTCTGTAGAAGAAAAACAAATAGTATTAAGCATGACTAAAGACTCTACTTCCTTGGTGCACTCAACATAGCAGGTATCTGCAGCGAGAGAAGTCACAGACGTTAACCACAGTAGTCATTCCGTAACTCTAAGGAAATGGAACATTTATTTCTATTTCTAACTAAATGTTATTTCACAATGAAGATCATATTTAAAGCACCTTGCATCTGCACTTACAAAATAGTTTCAGCTGCTGTGTAATTGTGATCAAAGCTCTTTAAAATAAGAAGGGAGCTAAACATTTGTTAGAATGTCAATGTTTGCAAAAATGCCAGTATTTGAAAGGTTTGTTAGAATGTCAATGTTTGCAAAAATGCTAGTATTTGACGAGTTTTTTAAGTGTAAAGAAACAAATATTACAATATAGAATACAGAATTTCAGAAGAACAAACTGCAGAGGATTTTAAGAACAGTTATGGTGTAAAGAAACAAATATTACAATATAGAATTTGAGAAGAACGAACTGCAGAGGATTTTAAGAACAGTTATATACCTGTCATCAACACTTTCTTTAACACCTTTCTTTTACAGTTTTACATAACTTGATTTACTACACTGGTTATTCCTCTGAGGTTTGGGAATGAACATGTCTTTTAGTAGTGTTTCAGGGTTAAAAATAACATCTTCAGACTGTTTTTGTTACTTTAAACAAAGCTTTACGATGAAGAAGTTTTCCCACAGCTAAAAACCAGTTTCTCATCTTGAAATTGCAAAAATGTATGTTTTAAAATTAATGTGTAATTGTTGATAAATGCAGAAATCGGCACTTGAAAAATCTTTCACTATATACTTTCTGAATAACCAAATAGGAAATAGATTATTTTTTGCAAGTATAGTGTTTTTAGTTTTATATCACTACTTTAGGTATACTGTAAGGTATTTGATGACGTGACTTCAGAGAACAGTTACAAAACTGAAATGCATGTTGCACATGTAAAAGACAGGAAGTCTGCTGGGTCTCTTTAACCACATGGGCTATAGCACAGATATATTCTAACAGCACGCATTTCTAAGAAAACTTTAAAATTTTCAGGGGACAAGCATGCATTTTGCCACCTCCCTCCTTCACACATCCCCCTGGTGTATCCATATGCAGAATCATTTATCATCTTTTATCACGCTACTTCTACTATAGGTAATAGATGATTTGCCACTTGAAGCAGGCAAAAAAACCCCTTAAGTGACCAAGTTACCCTGACAATAGATCTGGAGGGGATTGATGATACCACAGTAATATCAAAACACCTGAGGAGTCTTGTTCGTCACTTGCTTGTATCTAGCAAGATTAAACTAGTTATCTCACCTAGGATCAGATCTTCCCCTGAGCAGGACCATGTAGATCTACATGACTACTTTTTCTTCCTTTCTGTACTGGGTTTGTGTGGTCAGGTTTCGGTAGCAGGCAGACTACAGAGGTGGCTTCTGCAAGAAGCTGCTACAAGCTGCCCCTCTGTCCAATAGAGCCAGTGCCATCTGACTCCCAGATGGACCTGCTGCTGGCCAAGGCTGAGCACATCAGCAACAGTGGTAGAGCCTCTGGGACAACATACTTAAGGGGCAAAAAGTTCTGTGCAACAGCAATTGTAGCTGGAAAGAGGAGTGAGAGTATGTGGGAGAAACAACCCTGCAGACATCAAGGTCAGCAAAGAAGGAGGGGGAGGAGGTGGCAAAGATTTATTTCCAAGCTATCAAGCATATGAAGGTACTGACAGTCTATAAAAAGTCAAAAGCGGATCACTAAATCAGTACATGAAGTTTCATAATGATCACTGTAATGATCTTAGGGCTGAATATTAAAGAATGATAAGCACTCATCATAATTTTGCAGCTGGTACATTCTGTGACATGCCTGTGTTCTGAATAAAACATTGCCACAGTTAACCCACGCTCAAGCCAGAGAATGTGTCATGGCAAAACTGTCTACAAAGCAACATAAATGACACGCACTTACTACGTAAGTTCTTACTACGTAGGGGCTTTCCTGTCTCTTTTTTTCCACAATAATTAGGTCCCTATATACTTTACAAGTAACTCTTGTTGCTGCATTAAATACTATTTACTACTAAAATCTTCTCCTTTTACTTGTTGATGATGATCTTAGCTGATGAAAAGTAATGAAATGGTGCAGGGAGTTCTCCTACATACCTTGCTGAAACCAAGAAAGTGTAAGAGGACCTCATCGAGTAACAGAGCACACAAAGCTGTAACAGGCTTTCCTGAGTCCTGTAAACAACTTAATCCTCCTTAGAATACACTGAAATCCAGTCTCAAGAATTTACAAAAAATGAAAATATACCATGTAGAAATAGTCATATTTTCTTTAAGTAGACTGTAAGAGAGACAGCACAAGCTAAGCATCTAAAGAGCCTCAGTAAAATCCTGCATAAGAAACATAAGATTTCTGCTGCTGCTAATGCACTATTAAATATGAATGAATCAATCTGATCATCCCGGAACACAGTGTGGATGGCCTAGTAAAATACTGTGTGGCCAGACAAGTAAAAACTTCAACAGCAGCACTACACATGATACTGTCATAACAATAAAATTTATTCATTGTAGAAGGCTCAAAGGTTTTCTTCTCGTATCCCTCTGCCTTCTAGCGTCACTAATTTTAGCAACTAGAAGTGGGAAAAATAATTTAGTCAGTTTAAGTGCTTTCTATTCTATTTTTTACTTAGTAGAGGCCTCTCCTTTCTAAAACCGCTCCCAAAGTAAAAACAAAGTGTTTTCCCAATCAGGGTTTATTCACTTTCTCTCCCTAATGGGACTCATCCCACACTCCCTTCCCTGAGAAAGCTACAACTCTCCTCCTTGTTCACACTGTGCTGGCCACCTTCTTTTCATCACCTGTATTACAAATTGTCACTACCACTACAAAACTATCCCAGTTACTTATTTCCTTCAAAAAAAAAGTGCACAAAGAACACCTGTATCACGGGTGACTACTTTGGATCGTGGCTCTGAGATTCCTTTTGATCAGATATATTCCATACTCCATTAGTATAACTGTGAACAATTGTTTGGGTGTTGTGAACTTGCATATATTAGACTGAAAAAGACATGCTAGAGTGAAATGTGCTTCTATTATTAAGATATGTTTTTCTAGAGGTCTTTCTCTCAACGCCACTGATTTTTGCATTAATGAGCACTAATTTTCAAAGATACTGAATAATCTAATCAAATAAAGAACAGTCTGCAGTAGGGAAATTTTCCAATGGCTCTGTAATAGTAGAAAAAAAAAAGAAAAAATATGAGTTAACCAACACACTACTCAAAGATTATGCAAATTATAACTGATTATTAGGCAGCCTGTTCCAATGCTTAATAACCCTTTCAGTTATTAGAAATTTTTCCTAATATCCAATCTAAACCTCCCCTGGCACAACTTGATGCTGTTTCTTCTTGTGCTATCATCCGCCTGGCACAACTTGAGGCTGTTTCCTCTTGTGCTATCATCCATTACTGGGAAGAAAGGACCGACCCCCACCAGGCTCCAGCCTCCCTTCATGTTGTTTTAAAGAGTGATAAGGGCTCCCCTCAGCCTCCTTTTCTCGAGGCTGAGAGCACCTCCAGCTCCCTCAGCCTCTCCTCACAAGACTTGTGCTCCAGACCCCTCACCAGCTTTCTTGCCCTTCTCTGGAAACGCTCCAGCACTTCAATGCCTTTCTTGTAGATACTGTCAATGCTCTATATGTGGTAGACTCCTATCTGCCATTTCAGCAACCTTATATAAATTTTTTTTTGGAACAGTTGCTCCTTAACAGTGTTATGTTCCTGTTATCTGGAAAACAAATTGCTTTATCCTAGTTCCCAAACTAAAATTTTACTTCATCTTACTAAAAAGCCACTTTCATGACTAGTAGACATGTGGGAGGCTCAGGAGGCACAAGTCTTCTCATGCTGTCACAGACTATAATTCACAAATTCTGAGAAATTCAGGTCACTGGCACCTATCAGCCTTCTTTAGAGTCAGCTTCACATTTATGTAGCTCTAGGGATTTTAGTGGATCTGCTTCTGACTTACACAAGTAGAAATGAAAGGAGAATACGGCCTATACATCTAACAAGCAGATCTGATGATTCTCTCCCAAAGCAAATCCTGTAGAAACTACTATTTACCCAAAATTTTTATAAATAACTGACAAACAAAAAATTGTTTCCTTGAATCAGGATTTCATAATGAAAAGAACTATATTCTCCTAGGACGTAAAGAAATCACAGAGATCACAGAAAACAAAGAACACTGAACTGCAGAGATAGCATGAAAACATTCAGAAGTTACTGTTTGTTGTTTACTAGTAGAAGAGACTAGAATAGTTGATAATGAGTCTTGAATAGTTTGATAATGAGAGTTAATAATCTCAGTAGTCAAATGCAAAATACTCATTCCATCTAGGTATGTTTTTATTCGGTTGCAAAAGATTATTTTACCTTTATTACAAATACTGTTCTTCTATACTCAGATACTGAATTCCCTACAAAAATGATCTGTTCATTATCCTAAGCATTTCTTTACGTTATGTTTGTTGAAAAGTGAAACAGTAGCCTCGTTGCCAGGGGCTTTACTTATCTCTCTAGCTCAGTGACCTTGATGATGCTTAACCCATCGAATACACTTGGAAATTATTATGCTCAGCTGAAAATGAAAGCAGCCTTTGAGGTTTTTCTTCTACTCACTCTTGTTAAGGGAAGAGATAATAGAGACAGGAAATAATCTCATGCAAGCTACACCCATGTACAGTTCAGAGGTAGTCAATTTTTATGCTGAAAAATACAAGATGACAGATGAGAAAATTAACTAAGGACAGAAGAAAAACATCCACTCAGAATTTTTAATTACGTGGTGCATAATGAACACTATGTCAGCACAGAGCAGACAACAGAGAAAGCAGCAAAAATGGAAAAATGTTACATCCAAAAGAGAAGTTCTCCCAGATTACAAATGAGGTTAAAAAAGTGA